CCGTAACTCCTATCTCTTTGGACTTTTAAGATTAAAATCTTTCTTTCTCAAATTCATATATGTTTAGGAGGAAGTTCTAAAACATCTTCGAATGTGCATATTTCCTATTTTATTTTAGCCCTAAGCCTCATAAGAATCCTAGGCCTTATGATTCAAGAGATGTTTTCAAAGAATGTATGCTCTAATAACAACTGTAACGACCCACTTTCTCCTCTAAAAAATGAGTGCTACCACACATTTAGGACTTTATAAATAACATAGCAATATGTTAAAATTTAAACTAAATCATATATCATTTGACAAAATTACAAATCATGGGGCTAACAAAATCTTTAATAAGGTTTTTACCGTAAATCTTAAACCTACTTTACAGAAAGCAATTTCTCAAAATCATAAAAAGGATGCTTCCAAGTTTTCATTTGATCTTGAACTTGCTCTTGATGTTCCTATCCTGAAAATGATAGAAAGGAGTGAGCCACCAAATACTTAGTAAGAATAATTTACGACTCCAATCCAAATACCAGAGATAATATATTGATTTCAACCCCTTATACGTTTACTCCATACTTACAAGTTTTTCAGAATGATCTGATTCCAATACTTATACAACACTACATCGTTCTACAAATCAACTGATTTCATTTCTCATATACTTCAGCTATTTCAAACGATATTCCACAATAACATAACTTACCTTTCCATAATTACTTTCGATTCGTTCTCAATCTCAAAAACACAATCCCACATTCATATTAATTGCAAACATTCACATATATAATAGCCTTCTTTAAACACACATTTACATAATATTAAAGTCTCATCGTTCACCAAACAAAACCGACACATATTCTTAAATTGATATTATTTCAAATGATAATATTTAATCATAATCACGGGAGAAAATAATACTCACACTATTAACACAGACCTACTCATAGTTACACATTCACATGTCATGGTTTCTGTCATATTTACGATCATAGTTATAACTCACATCGTCCCCCATGGATACAGTCATAATTACAATCATAGTTACAGTTATAATTATGATGCAACAAATTGTCCATAAAATAGAGTTCATGATCATTTCTAACTGATCATGGTCTGCACATTTACTTATATCTACTTGCTAGGGAATCTTAACTGCCTACCATATGTACTTCCTAATACGATTTCTTTTAAAATTACATTTTGGTCTACTAGATTATTATCTTCATTTAAATTTCGTGCGAATCCTATCTCTTTACTCTCAAAAGTCTAATTTAATAATTCACAATTCACCGAACTCATTAATCCCCAATTTATCTTAATTGCAAAGATCACCTAAGGATCTTGATTCTCACAATTTTATTCCCAAAAATCTTCAATTCAGAAATTACATATTTCAAATCATTACGCTAATTCATAACCTACCTAACAATTTTGAAAATTCCCTATAATAAGGATATCTATTCAATCGTTCGCACCATTTCTATAATTATATAAATATGTTACTCTAATTTATAAATCATTAATCTTCAATGTATCTCCATCGTTCCTATTTCAATGTATTACATTTCTTATTTACTATGAATACCAGTGTCATTCATATATTTAATTTATTCATTTATTTAATGTAATTTTTCTTTTGTTAATAAATTAATTTCCTCGCTCTCAGCCCTTAATTCTAACTTTCATCTCCTATCATTTGGCCCACCAAAATTTTCTAACCTCTCTTATGTCAATCCAAGAAAATTTAGATCCTTTCTTTTGTCTTACACTCAAATTTCCTACATGAGCCAGAGGCCCACTAAATTTTTTGCCCAACTTCTTTAGTTCTTTTCTTTCTTTTAAAAACTTTCAGCTAACGATTATTTTCAAGCTTGCCCAAACTACATCTTAGCCCATGGAAATAACTTTGCTAGTTCGGTTTTGGGATTTAACCCCAATTTAAAACCAACCTAAATGTCTACAAACCCAGCCCATCATATCTCATGTTCCTCACTGTGACCTTATTGGCATTCCAAAACCCCAATTCATAGCATGCTGAATTTCATGCTCACATATCTTCCCAATTTCATGCATTCGTAAGTTGAAATATCAATAAGCATCCATATAATTATCATATTATAAGACTATCACAACATATGGAATTTAAAATCACTACATTATCACAAATCAAGGAATTTAGACTATAAATTACTCTTACCATAAAACAGGAACTGAATATGTCACCGGGATCCCCACTCAGTTCGATCTACAGGTCCCATCGAATCTAGGCTATTACTGGAGTATGTTTGCCTTATTCACAAACAGAAACACATGCATTAAACGGACAATTTAAAAANNNNTCAACCGCCTCCTCTCCGCAGCGCACGCACGGGTCCGGTTTCCTTTCTATTGTCGCACCTCGTGCCCCGAGCAAATCTAGTCTGATTTCGTTTTCTCTTCCCATCGCCCCTTTCTAGTTCCAGACACCGTCATCTGGACGGGTCTTCTTCTTCGGTCACTCTACTGCGACCGATATGTTGTCGCGACAGCAGATCGCAACGGTTCATCTTTTCTTCGCACATCAGAGCACTCTGGCGTAGATCTGTCTGACATCTTTCTTCCGGCAGCGCGATTTGTCTTCGTCAGGCTGCACATGACCCTTTTCACAGCGTTCTGCTCGAAGTGTTAGCTATGACTCTTTACCTCCTCAGCGTAGATCTTGCCACAATGGACAGATCACTCGTTGCCACTGTAAATCTACCTCGTGCTGCCGTTCCTCTTCTTCTTCTTCTTCTTCCCTATCGCCTCTCTTCTTCCTCTCTCTCATGATCTATACTCCCCTCACACTGCCCCTCTCTTCTTCCAGAGCAGCTTCTACTTGAAGAGGTAGAGGAAGGAGGCTTAAATGGGGTGTTCCATAACCGTTCGATCTCCAGGATGAATCTAGGCAATTGGTTCCCTTGCTTCTTTTTAAATTCCAATATATTCCTTCTCTTTTTAAAATCTTTGCAACCTAGCCCCTACCTTATTTCCATATTGCCCATCTTCTTTTAAAATCTTTACAATTTAGTCCCCTTTTTAATATTATGTAGACTTTTATTTTTCATTTAGTTTCTATTAAATTTTTCTAAAATATCTTGAAGATTGTCGTTCAATTTTTAGAATGTTACAGAACCCATTAACAGTTTTTTCATATCATCTCTTAAAATTGCTTTTGTTGCGCACATACATTTCAATCTTTCTGCGTCTGCTTGGTTACCTACTAAAATTGCCCTTTGGGGGAGAAGGATGGATTGTTAATGTGGACGATTTGGAAGATATAATTGGAGGGCATGTATGGTTAGGTTCCATTTTTATCTTTGGTGGAATTTGGCATATCTTAACCAAACCTTTGGCATGGGCTCGCCGTGCGCTTGTATGGTCTGGGGAGGCTTACTTGTCTTATAGTTTAGGTGCTTTATCTGTTTTTGCAGCGGGCATTCGACTTCCCCTGGTGGTAGGGTAGTACGAAAGGAAGCTGATCATAGATTATCATTAAACTTTAAATTGATTCTTCCTGGGTCGATGTCCGAGCACTTAATGGGGACGGACTATAAATTCGTTAGCAATATGTCTATGCTGGTTCAAATCCAGCTCAGCCCAATAATTCACTGTCCACCATGAAATGCCATAACCCATTTTTTTTTCATAAATGTTAGTCAATAGGGAAGAAAAAAAAAACAGTAGGGAAGAAAAAAGAAAGTCAAATTTTCTAATATATCCTTGCTTTTATTT